TATATATATATATATATATTGATTGCAGTGGATTACATTTCAAAATGGATTGAAGCAATCACTTTACCTTGATGTGATGCTTGGAGTGTTTCAAAATTTTTAATTAAAAATATTTTTACAAGATATGGAATGCCTTGAGTAATCATTACAATTGAGTATCTCATTTTTGAAATGCAACAATTGCAAGATTGGTAGAAAAATATAATATAATGCATAAAATTGTAACTTATTATCCCCAGCCTAGTGGTTTAGCAGAAGTATCTAATTGTGAAATTAAGAGAATTTTAGAAAAAAAGTGTAAATCCTCTTAAAATGGATTGCTCTATTAGAGTATATACGACATTATGGGCATACATGACATCTTATAAGACATCTATAGCTATGTCCCTTTATATATTAATTTTTGGGAAGACTTCTCACTTGTTAGTTGAATTGGAGTATAAAGCTTATTGGGATATAAAGGAATTCAATTTCAATTTAAAAGAAGCTTGGGAGAAAAGATTATTGCAATAGAATGAGCTTGAGGAAATTAGAAATGAATCTTAACAATGAATCTTACGATAATGCTAGGATTTATAAGGAATGGCATGATCGGAATAAGGAAAGTGAAAGAATGACAGGATCAGAAGATAATAAAAAAGAATTTTTAACCTAGACAGAAAGTTTTATTATACAATACAAGATTAAAATTATTTTCTGGAAAACTAAAGTCTAGGTGGAAAGGGCCATTCAGAGTTGTAATAGTCTATCTGTATGGAGCTATTAATATTGAAGGTCCTAAAATTGGAAGGATATTTAAAGTAAATTGACACAGATTGAAACCATGTTTTGATGGTCAAAGACCAATTTTTAAAGAAACTATAATGTTGGATCACCCATAATAAAGAATGGGTATGTCGGGCTGACGACCTTAAACCAAGCGCTTTGTGGGAGACAACCCATACTTATCGTTCTTTATTTTGATATTAAGTTTTTTGTTATTCAAAATAATTTACATACATTTATATTTCTGTTTTCATAAAGTCCATGTATGTGAGAAAATTATTTAAAAACATCTTTATTTACCAATTTTATGTAAGAATTGAGAATTTTTTATCGAAATAAAAAATGTGAATATTTGGAACTAGCGCATAATGCGCCAAATTCCAGAGAGCTGGCGCTTGATGCGCAATAATCGATGCATGATGCGTCTCAATAACAAAAATGACTTAAAATGTTTCAAAAGGAATTTTTTGGTAGTTTTTGGCTAGTTCTTCTTTTTATAACTCCCAAAAACTAATTAAAAAGTCCATTTTAAAGGGAAAAAAGAGGGAGGAGTCACTATATTTAAATTCAAATGGCGTCCTACTCTTAAAATTCAGCTAGAATTGAAATTTTTCAGCCGAATAAAATTCATCAGTTTTGATGCCCAGAAGTTGCATGATCGTGTTTTAGTGAAGAAGAGGTTAATCAAACAAAGGGGGTTTGTGAATTGAGGATTCAATACACCGAATAATCGAGTTGAAGAGATTATTGCGTAGAGACATTGGGAAGTGCTTTGTTACATTACTGTCACTGTAGTCGTCCCTTGGTGAAAGAATTTTATGCTAATCTACATGAAATCAACCAAAGAATTTACTATGTGCTAGGCAGGTTTGTGTAATTCACTCCTTCAAGAATAAACGAGATGTTTATGATTGAAAATGTACCTACCAACCATACACAAATTTTACCCCTACAAGAGATAATATGAATGAACTCTATCAGTACATTACGAATGTAGATGCAAATTGGGAGGCCAGATGTAATGGAAATGTGAGTTTTTCGTCATCGTTGCTAAATCATGCTTCTAAGGCATGACACTTCTTTACTGCATCAAAATTACTGCCTACTATGAAAATTAGTAAGGTAACTAAGGAGAGTGCTATTTTGAATTACACTATTCAAACTGGAAAACCTGTTGATATTGGAGCAATCATTGTGAAATCAATTTTGGGTTTAATTATGAATGGATCTGCAACCGAACGTGAACATCCATCCACTATTTTTTTACTATGCAGTCAATTGCAAGTACCTTATGAGAGTTGGGAAAAAGTGCTTCTTCCTTGGAAGCCGATGGATCCAGAATTCTATTACAACTATATTGGAATGGGAGATGAGAATGATATGAATATACTGATGGATCAAGCATCCCAAAATTCATCACCTATGTAGCCTTACTTCAGTTCGAACGCACTTTTGAAAAGGTTCAATAAGATAGAAAAAGAGGTGTAGAATCTTATGCATGCAATTGGGAATATTTTTGAATTGTTGGATCACTTAGATTGGAGACTTAAAAAACACTTTGAGCATACTGGTTGTATTGAAGATTGTTTGGTATGTATGTTCAAGAAACATGCTTGGATCAGGGAGGATTCGACTGATGAATTTCCTTATTGAACCTTCCACAATTTTTATGTGCAGGAGGATGAGAGTGAAGAAGATGTTTGAACTTAATCTATGCACGAAACATTTTGTTTAGTACTGCTTGTTTCAGTCCAGCTGCTTGTTTCAGTCGTTTGTTGTGTTGGATTGCATTTAATTTTATAGTTGAACAATGTCGATGTTTGTGTTTGGTTTCTTGATATTTATATTTCAGTGTTAGGATGTTTTGGTTTGCTTTAAACACTGAAATAGATGTCTGTTGGCTTGAAAAATATTAGTCTGTAATAGCACAAATTATATATATATATATATATAAGTGATTTTTGTGTTGTTTATGAAAGTTTGGTGTTAAAGTAATGTTTAATTATGATTATAAAGGATCATTTGAGTTAATCAAGGTTCAGTGAGTTAATTAGAGGTAGTCGTAAAGCGATACAAAGCAGATTTTCACAGAAAATGAAATGTGAAAAAAATTAAGGCGTTGGCGTAAGATGCGCCGCTTTACAGAGATTTGGCGCATGATGCGCCTGATTTGGCGCTTGATGCGCCAAATTCCTAAAAATGCTAGATTGCCTAAAAAATAGTGAAATTGCACAGCAGAACTCCATTTTTACTGCTTGGGTCGTCTCTTACCTCTAAACCATGACCTAGGGCTTCATATTAAGCGTGATAGTGAAAATTTCAGAGGCTAAAAATCGTAGATTTTATCTTCTCTTGGTAAAAGCTTTACTTTAACTTAAAATTTTTTTATTTTCACCATTGATTTTTCCTACATTATGGAAAATCTGAAAGTTAGGATTTTTGATGAAAAAGCTTGAAGAAAACTCATGGTGAAAAGTTTTATATGAAATAATTTTACTTGGGGAGTTAGATTTTTTATTTTGTAATTTATTTGGAATTTAGTTAGATTTTGGTATAATTTCAAATGGCTCCCCCAGTGAAGAGAGGAAGGTCAGATGATTTTGATGCACGAAGATTTGTTAATTTGAGGGCCCAACACAGTTATAACACTAAAATAGAGTTGAGAAGATTGATCTAGGAATGGACATTTGCTAACTCGGGTGACGAGATCGAGAGGTTGATCCTTGCCAAAAATTGGGAACGATTTTGCTACTTCACTGCAGTAGCGATTGTGCCAATGATTCGAGAATTTTATGCCAACTTGAGATTCATTGATGATGATCACATCCTTGTAAGAGGTAACCAAGTTGAATTTACTGCAGAAAGGATTAATGCTTTTTATGGGCCAAGGAATGTATTTTTTGATGACTATGCAACATTCGTGATGACCGAATCATGTCTGGATGAAGTGATTGTCTTTCTCAGAGAAGGAAGAGGAGAATGAAGGATTAAAAGTAATAAGATAGTTAACTTCTCCGCTTCAATGTTGACGAGTCAGTCAAAGGTATGAAACCACTTCATTTTTGTTAAATTACTACCAACAAATCATTTGACCTATGTAACGAAGGATAAAGTTATATTGAACTTCATTTTTGTTAAATTACTACCAACAACTCATCTGACCTATGTAACGAAGGATAAAGTTATATTGAACTATTGCATTCAGAACATGAAAGCAATAGATGTTGGTGCTCTGATAGTTCATCATCCATGGAGCATAGTTAAGAGATCTACAGCTAGTGCTTTGGGTTACCCTGCCCTGATTTTTACTCTTAGCGAGCAATCAGGATTAGAGTTCCAAATAAATGAGGAGGGGTTACAACCAAAAAATTATATTGGGAAGCACATGATTTAGAGAGTTGAATCATTTGTTGAATCTAGGGGTGGAAGAGGCGATAAACCCTCTACATCAGCTACAGGGGGGCATCTACTTCCAGCTACAGGGGCATCTACTTCTCGCCCTGCATCATTAGAAAATGATATGAACCAACTCATTATTCAAAAATTGGATGTAGTAAATATTCAAAATCAATTTAAAGAGATTGGAGCAAGAAATGCTTATAATGATGAGTATCAACAAAGGAGAGTTTAGCATGATATAACTTTTGAGAATGCTTTGGTGAGATATCTTAGTGGTGAATACAATGTGGAATTTCCTACTTTCCCCAGCTATACTCCTTATGCTCCTATTCATGAAGAAGAAGAAGAAGAAGAAGAAGAAGAAGAAGAAGAAGAAGAAGAAGAAGAAGAAGATCATGATGACGATGAGGAGGAAGGCGATGAAGATTGATATTTTCTAGAGTTAATTTAATTGTTTCCCTATTTGTTTGTTTGCTTGTATGTTGTTTGGATGTTATTTGGTTGGTAGTTGAAACTATAGTAGTAAAAACTTTTATTTTGTGTTGTGGATTTAAAATTGTAATAGTAACTGTAGATTTTTACTTTTCCTGCATTT